TTTTCCCAAAAAAGTATCACTTTTTTGGGAAAATCAAAAATGATTTTCCCAAAATAGTAGTAAAATTTCGACCTCCGCGCAGGGGGCTCAGGAAGCACAGACTTAGTTTGTATTCGCGCAGACTAAGTTTGTATTCGCCAATTTTCCCAAAAATGTAGCAGATTTTTGGGAAAATTGGCCTCGAGAAACTGCGCGCACGCGCTCTGGATCAGGCTAGTTCGTAATATTAGTAGTAATAATATATATTTAATTAAAAAAAATATATAATATATATAATATATATATATAATATATATATAATATATATATATATTTATTAAAATTATAATTATTTTAAAATTTAATATATAATTTCCGAAAAATATTCAGATCATATTAAATTTACCCTATTTAAAAATATATATATATATATTGTTTTAAAATCAAAATAAATTTAATTTATTTTATTATTTTATTTAAAAAAATAACAAAAATAGAAATTATAAATATACAAAATAATTTAATAATTTTATTTATAAAAAAATAAGTATTAATATTAATTTATATAATTATTAAGAATTTAGATATATATATATATCAATATATATATATATATTTATTTAAGATAAATTTTAAATTTTATCATTTAATTAGAAAAATTATTCTAATAATAAATATTATATATCCCAAATTCCATTTTTAATATTCCTTTCCTTTAAATTTATTTTCATTAAATTTATATGAATTGGATTATATATTTATATATTTATTATTTTATTTTATTTATAAAATATATTTAGAATAATTCCTCCTTGAAATTATGGATATTAAATATTCAAAATCTCAAAGATTTCAAGAATTACCTGAAATTTCACCGCCTCAACCTCCTCAAGCCATATCGATTGATTATATCACCTATTACCATTGAGACCCTTACTCCAGAAGAACTTGAACTATAACTTTCAACAACGAGAAATGCAGAGCTCAATTTGGAATGCGGGCCCCAACAGGAACTTCGATCTTCACCTTAAGCCAGAGCTTACTTCCTTGCCCTCAACTATGCAATCCCATGCAAACTCCAGAAGATTGACCCCACCAAGAAGCTACCTTTCATTGACCTTCAGCAGGTCGAAACTCCAACACTTGAGATTCAAGAGTTCTACGCCCATATTATCCTCGAGCAGTAAAACATCCACATTCAGATCGACACCATGGATACCAGATTGAAGACATTGGAATCCACGATTGACAGCAAAGCACTCCTTCTTTGAGGACTACCAGCTACAGAATTTACAATTAACAACCTCGAATGGAACATCCTTCTACATTGCACATGAAGAACAAGGACCCATAGTAGCACTTCGACTTTCCATAATTATTCAGCAACTCTTCCATCACTACCAGGTCGACACAGGTCTCACCACAGATGTACACCGATGCAACAATCTCATTGTACAAAAACAATGCCCCCTTTGTGACCACCACCTCCATTTCATCAAGAACGAGAGGAAGTCTTACCAGCATATCCTAAGTTCTTCATTTGAGTTGATCAATACCCTCCAGTTCGACTACATAGTGGATGAGCTTACCAACTGCATCAACAAAACATATCTCTTCCAGGACATCTTTCTTGGCATGGACCTCTACACCAACAATGAGCTGACGCACTTTAACTCAATTTGTACCTGTTTCACCGATGTAGCCTATAATTTGCTCATGTTTGTCAACCTAGGCCTGGGAATAAGCTTCAGATTCCCAATAGAGGCTAAAGGCGGTACCACTCCTTTACCGGACACAATCCCACCATGAGCAGCTACAGCTGGCAGGGGCCGCCAGAGGCTTGCCGGGAAACCACGGTCCATCTAAACAATCATTCTTTTCCTTCCAATATAAGTTGCCTCCTCAAAGTCAGACTTATGGTCATGAACCCTGCCGTGTGTCGCGGAACCGTTCACATCAGAACCTTAGATCCGAAACAGCCCGTAATAGTAGACTTCACTCATATTTTACTCCACCGACAAAATCGTCGTAGTTTCTTGATAACGCCCTCGATGAATGGCCAACCCCCAAAGCGCACCTGTCCTTCTTCACAGGGACAATGTAGGTCAAGTTGTTGAAAGTGACTGCGACGCCTTTGCCGCTCTGTCCGCCGGTCTTTCCAGCCATCGTCACGGTCAGGTAGAATCTCTGGAAGAGATCGGACTATGGGATTCGTGAAGCCTGAACTTTGAGCAGGCACGCATGATCAAGAAAGTCCTCTTCAGTTGACTCACAGATTTTCATCAGCGGTACTTTGAGTTGCTGTCGAGCATTGACATGTTGGAGACCAAGAATCAATATGTGTCTTTCAGGTGAACATAGTCTGGACTTGAAATATTCACAAAAATTGTGCTCTTGTCCTTGTTGTGAATTCTCTCCTTCAAATTTCACGAGAGCTCAACACAACAGACTGGCATGATGTTGTTGAATCCAGTTCCATAGGTGCCCAAATGCTTCGCCAAAGAAGATTCCAAAATTTTGATCATGGATGGATGGATGGGTGGGTGGGTGGGCGGATGGGCGGATGGAAGGATGGGTGGATGGGTGGATGGGTGGATGGGTGGATGGGTGGATGGGTGGATGGGTGGATGGGTGGATGGATGGGTGGGTGGATGGATGGATGGATGGATGGATGGAATAGATAGGTAGGTGGGCAGGCAGATAGCTAGACAGCTAGATATATAGGTAGATAGGTAGATGGGTAGATAGGTAGAAAGGTAGATGAGATAAGATAAGTTTAGATTGGATTAGATTCGATAAGATAAGATCAAATATAATAGAGGTATGCAGGGGTTTGGCGAAAAAAAACCTGTATAAAAAATAAAGGTGAAAGACGTAAAAGTAAAGATGGAGATCAAGATACGGACAAAGATGAAAAATAAAATAAATACAAGGATAGGCTAGTAAGTAAAACATAAGATACCACAAAGTTTGCCAAGGTAAAATAGATAGATCATAGCTGCATACGTGTGTGTGATCTCTATATATATATACACACATGCATATAAGATGATTTAGTTGCGTAGTATTCGCAACCTCAGGTCCAGCAGTGTTTGATCAACATTTCCACGGTTTGTTTTTTTTGCCCCAGTGAGGTTGGAACCTCTGCAATTTGGCTACAGAAGAAAGCAGGGCTGGGCAATGGACCTTTGGATTGAGGTGTTGAACAAGAGGTAGAGGGAACCTGCAAGAGTCTTAGAACTGTGTCACGTATCATCTATTTATTGGTGCCTTAGTATCTAAAATCTGCCTGGTGTGTTCCGTTACAAAGTCTGGCCCAAACGCTTTTGAAACATTCTACGACCAATGACTCGGGGAGTCCGGGGTAAACGTGCAAATATCAAAGCACTTTGCCCAGCCATGCTTTCGACTGTGAGCCGACTTCTCCGGCAACCCATCGGTCAGAGAGTGCAACAAATTCTCCTGGACAAAAGCAACCAAAAACTTGTGATGTAGGCTGAGTCAACTCCTAAAAATGTTTTTTACAAGGCAGAATTTCCATTGTTTTTTGACAAGGTCATCACTTGCCGCACCCCACTCCAACGGTGGATGTAAAGCGTTTTTTGGGAGTGAAACATTTTGAGGCCATCCGGTGGCTGCCGTGGCCGCACAGGCACCCTTCAGCAGCCTCTGGTCTGATTTGGGACATGGACTCAGCAAAGAGTTTGATCGCGCACAGAACCACAATTCATGTTCCCACAGCATACTGGATTCTCTAAAGTTTGTCATGGTTCAAACACGGTAGTTTGCATGCTATTAAAGAAACAGTTCATCATTGTTCGTTTTCATTGTCATGCATCGGCACATTCTTGGTTCGCCCTGCCCTTCCCCCCACCGCGCCCGCGTTATGACGTAAATCGTCGCCGATGGGTCCACTGATTTGTGTCACCATCTTTTAAAGTTTGACTCTGACAAGTGCGGGGGTGGCAATAATGGTGATGGCAATTATATTATAATATATGAGGATGAAATGAAAATGATGGTTCCTGACATGATGACAATGAAATCAGCAGGAACAAATGATCAGCAACCCAGCAGCAGCAAAGTCAATTCCACAATGCAAACAACGCCACTGCAGTGGGCCTCAGAGGCCTCTACAACAAAACGGCATGAAAATAGACGAAGACTACAAAATCTAATTACAAACATCTACAAACCACAAATGTGATGTTTTGAAACTTGAACGAGGACAAGCAGCAAAACTGCAATAAAGAAAGCCATGCTGGAAAAGAGAGAGAGAGAGAGAGAGAAAAACCGACAGCAAGAACAATCATCACGAACATCATCAACATCAACGGTCATCAAAGGCAGGACAAAACATATGTGAAAGAAACAAAACTGCCCGCTGAGGCTGGACGTTGTCCATGGCGCCATGCCATCACAACAAGTTTGCTTCCCTTTCAATTCTTGACTGATTCCCTGCTCCGTCCCTTCAAAATTGCGCCTTACAACCCCGACATGTGCGTCAATTTAGCTTGCCATGAACGTGCTGGCAACACCAAAAGTAAGGCCCACACTCATTTCCAAGCTTTCCTCAAATCTGAGCACAAATCAACATCTTCCAACTGACACTGCGGGTTCAACACAAGTCCAGCCAACAGGACCGTGACCGTGGCCATACTCCATTTCCAGAGGCGTCCCGAACAAATGAAAAACCAAATCAATAAATTGCCCAAAAATGCTCTATCTCACCTTCTCGAAAGACGGAAAATTTCTCCAACATGTTCATGGCCAGTTTACTAACTATGCACTCTGCCACCCGTCGGCCCCTAGCTCTTCTCAACTGGGCCTAGTTTGTTTCTGCTGGGTTCGCTGACGTGGCTACGGGCGATGGCGGAGGTCGGGACCAAGGAGTGTCTGAGACCTGGGCAGGTTCCAAGACCGTGTGATGCTTGGAATTGATTGTTTTTTCAGCCTACCAGCTTTACATACATGGGTGACAGCAACTGTGTGCCGTTTCTTGTGACTTTCTGTCCAAGAGTTGTGTCTTAAAGGTTTCCTGTTCAATGGATTCAAAGTGCATGACCAGAAAAACTGCCTCCCCTGTCCCTACAACCATCCTGGACCATCCTCATTTCCTTGGTCCGCTGCATAAATGGCCCGGTTGGAGTAGGGCGATGTAGATCTCCCAGACCGCCCCATGGGACTGGGCGTCCCGTGACTCCTGGGACTGACCCTGGAGCTAGGCCTCGTGGCAGCACCCAAGTTGGACCCAGACTGGTCCTTGTTCTAAGAATCTTGAAGGCTTGAGAATTATTAGGCATGGATATACAGCATATGCTGTGCATAGTATATATATATATATACATATGTATATATTGTATCTCGTCTATATCATTGGTACACGTTAGTCATTGTATACGCTGCGTATGCGCTGCATCTACACTGTACATGCCTCTATGTGTACATATATATATATATATGCGTATGTATATGAACTGCATATGCCACGTGTATATGCATGTGCATGTGTATATATATATAATGATATTTAATTTTATTATATTCTATTTTATTTTATTACATTAAATTAAATTATATTAGATTATATTGTGCTATGTTATGTTATAAATATATATCAATATGCGCGTGTGTTTACATGTATACAAATTATATCTTTAATATAAAAAAAAATATACTATAACATAATAAAATATGATATAATATAATTTAATATAACATAACATAATATAATATAATATAATAGAATCTATTAATATATATATACTGTATTATCAGTATTATATATATACATACACATGTACATAACACGCCGGAAAAAAATAATATATATATATATATACATATGTATATATATATATTTATATTACATTACATATTGCACATACGGTACATGCTAAAGTCCATGCCAAGTCAAAAACATGATCTGACGACACACTCTTTGCCGACGATATATCTGAGTACCTAACGAGCGGCTAGTTGTCACAGGCCTGCCGGGTGACCTCGATCAGTTCAGCTGTGAGAACTCAAATTTCGAATCCTTGCTGGTGCGCGTCAAACTCCTTCAACATGGTTTTCTGCTGCCTTGAGCGTAGGTCAATGCACAAAAACGCCCATGTGTCTTGATGACAAAATGTGACTAGCATGTTGCTTTGGATTGATTAATCCAAGGACCGCCATCTCACAGAAATCCAAGATGTTACAACCCTCCCCCCCCCAAAAAAAAAAACGACAACAAGGCAGGCTGATCCATGAACATGGCAAACTTCTATATATTCACCCAGCTCCACAATGAATACTGTAGGCCCCCCAACTTGGACGCAGTGGACCTGCAAATAAATTGAAGAAGGTTTCTCTCGTTTTGGGCTGCACTTGTTTGCAGAGTCTTTTGAACATCACAGATCATCATAGCGGGCCCGACCCAATATGCAAGCTAGCCAGTACCCCAAGGTGAAGTGAAATGACCCGGTGCCTGTCGCCAGTGTCGAAGTTTTCAGGCCTCATTCAGCTCATTACCTATCTACTGGATGACCAGTTCCACCAAAAGCTCCTGAGACTGAAACTACTTCACTACGTACTTGGGGATGCAGTTGGGATTATTAATGATCACAAGCATGGCAATAATAGCCTTCATAAGCTGGGATATCGAACCCCCTTCCACTTATAACTAACTATGGTGATATATGGTGATGTAATGTATCCATATATACGATCCACTTATAAGTGGAACTAAACCCCCCAAATAATTCCCAGCACATACTGCACACATGTTTGAACTCCAACGCACAAGTGACAAGTCATCCTGGGTGGCGGTGCTTTCCAAAGGAGATCAGCGACGAGCGATTTGCCCGGGCATCAGGTGACAAGGAGCGCTCCCACCTAGGCGTTCCACTCCCAAGGGCCCTACACGACTGATGCTGTATCCATTACAGCAGCTGATCCCCACATGAAGGATCATGAAGGTTTCCTAGTCCTAGTCATGGTTGTACCGCACATCATCCAAAATTAGATCAGTTCACCTCAGTTCAGTATTAAAACCAATGGTCTTGAGGATCCCCCATTTCAAGAAACTCTCCCATAAGGTCCGCCAAGGTGCAGGAGCTGGGGCTGCTCCCCTCGAGTCAGGTCCTGAAAACCCTCCAAATCGCCTCATGAGAAGCGGTTCAACCCTCAACCTTTCCAGACGGTCCATCCATACTCGGCAAAATTCAAATTGCGCACGCTATCTCTCCAAAACTGTTGCTTAGACTCAAGTTGTTTCAGGTATCTACCCTTCTGACCACAATATTCACTTGCTGGCGTAAATTTGCAGTCCTGCAGGCCGCGCTCGGAAGTAGGCGAAGGAGAATTCTCCAGCCTCAGTCCCAAAATTGGATTGATCCTGTGGAAGTCTGAATGCAGCATCCATCGCCATGGACCAAGGCCAGGAAAGATAGTAAAGGTTTCAACACTTGCACCGGCATAATGTGCTTCAGTTCAGCACGTCTGAGCAGTTTGGAAAACCACCAGCCCGTTCATCTGCTGCCCCCCCCCGTGCTGCCCGGCGAGTGTACATGCCGCTCTTTAGACCTGCCAAAGGTGCAGAAACTCTAGCAGGTCTTACTCGTGAAGGTGTGATCTGGTGGCATCCACAAGAAGCTGAATGCGACCCATCCCCAGTTGGTTCACTTTTGCCAATTGAAACACCTGGCGAATTGGATCAAAACAGTGACCCCTGGACTGCAGCCTCAATGGCAAAAGGACTCCATCTGAACGTCCAAAGCTGCGTCCGCACCTTGTGTTGCAACTGGCCCTAGGGGTTGGCTGCAGGAATCATCTTGGGATCCAACATGCTCCAGATGGCCCCAATGCCCACAAGAGTCAAGGTATCTTCTGATTTCGAAGCATTTTTCTCGGAAGGCTGCAACGACTCCGAGGGATAAATGGCAAGCGCTGCAACAAATCCTTGCCAGCCTTGCCCCATACTGAGTTTACAGGGGGATACCGGAGGATATACTCAACTCAGCATGTACCACAGTAGCGCAACCTTTTGCATTTTTTTAGGTGCAGCCAGACAACAAGAAACTCGGCGGTGCAGAATCTCTCCTAGCCAGTTCTTCTTCTGTCCTCAGCCACGTCTCACCATGCAAAGAGGCACCTTTCAAGGCTTAAAGAAAATGTTCTATTTCTGGGCATGTTCCGCATCCTGCTGTCACTGCCCCTTCCCATCAGAACCTTGGCTACAAATATTCATGTAAAAATGATCGGGCCGAACCTTCAAAACCTCAAGGGTTCAGTCATACACAACATGATGCAGGCTCCCGCCATGCCAGCACACCTGAGGACCCCTGCAAAGTTGTTGCCGGAGTTGGATTGGGGCTCTTCTTGCCACTCTGCACTTTCTGCACATTCTGCGATTGTGGCTGGGATCTGCTCGGCTTCTTGGACACTCCCAGGGTGGATGACAGTGATCCGGACATCTCGGCCGTTGCAGCTGGGGCGGTGCCCTGAGTCTTTGGAGCCACATAGAGGAGGCTTCGCGCGCGGGCAGCTTTGGACATCACCTCCGGGGTAGGAATCTGCCTTAGCAAACACCAAAGATGTGGCGCATGTGGACAAGGTTTGTCTCCATGGTTCCCTGGCAGTTCCCAATGTCATAGCCTCCTTCAAACGATCACTGAGGCTGTGGCCCTGCTCCACCCGGCTCAGACCTGCAGAGCGCCACAGCTGAAATGAACCGACCTCAACCTACATCATGTGGACGTTTTGAGGCTTCAACCTGCTGATGTTTGGAGACGTCTTGGCTGCACTGGACCTGCTGGCATGGCCATTCACAATGATGGCAAGGCTGTTCCTGTTTCATGCTGTTTCATGCTGTTTCATGCTGTTTCTATGTGTGGCTAAAAGCTTTGGAGGCTTGAAGTCAAAACAGCAGCTGTAGAAATATTACACGACAATTTAGCCGGCAAAGTTATCGCACAAGCAATGTCTAGAAATGTAACATTCTGCATTGGTATTTATTGCCACTGCATTTCCAAAAATGTATTGATGTGATATTTTGGATACTGTTGAAGTTGAAACGAGTGCTTCGGGACCGTTTTCTAATTGACGCTGCCCCGTGCCCGAGTGTTATGAGAAAAAATCCCCTGAACCAAAAAATAATATCAATGCCTCAGCCACTTCTCTTGTCATGCCCCTGGCCATTCAATGCTGCCGTCCGAGGACCTCTGAGATGCCTTTGCTCCAGAAGTCTCCAAAGACCTTGAATGAGCAAGATTGTTTCTACGTACCCTGTGCAGTGTCCGGCAGTTGATCTTGCTCACACTGGTTTTTGCCATGAGCTTCTCAGCTTTGCGGGCGCGGATTTGACAGTGTTGATTGCCATTGTCCAGGGACTGACAGTCGCCAGGATTCGGCAGAGCTGCCCGGAAGCAAAAGACTGCTGTACAACACTACAGAGCGGAGCGCTTGTGGACACCAATCCCGTTCAGCTAGTCCATTCAAACCTGCTCTTGCCTATTCCAATCACACATAAAAATCATAAAAACAATTAATGAGCGTTATCACCCACTGCGCTCAGGGCCATGCTTTGCATCTCATTCATCTCACCCGCCGGAAGCAACAAAAGGCTTCCATAGATTTGGCCATTAAAGGTCAATTCAAAATCTATCCAGCCACTTCATCAAATTCACCAAGCTCGTAAGCATTTTCAAAAAAATCCTCTTCAAGTTGCACCGCTTGCAAGAAGCGAGCTTGGCAGCTTTGCTTACCCCCCTCGTCCAGCAGCTCTCCTTCCTTGTCTAAGAGCCTACGGAGGTATGCCACAACATCCACCAAACAAGTGTGCAAGTCAATCCACTCGAAGAAAACAAAGTTCTCCCGCACAGCTTGCTGGTCAACAGCCTGGGCCCACGACAAATAGGTCCACTCACACACAAGCAGCACGGACAACATCTCACCAAGACTGCCCATCTGTGCGACCTCCTTCATCAGCTCAATGAAGCCACTGGTACAACTGGCATCCGGGATCTGTTCCCTGTCTCTGAGGGAACACCGAGGTAGGACCTCGAAACAACGCTCAAAATAGGTATTCTCCTTTCCAGTGACCAGCGCCAAGAACTGGCATCCGAAGATGCGATCCTCCAAACATCTGGCATGGGCCACCATGCTGGCCAAGAGTACCACGAAGGCATCCAAAAAGCGGTGATCTTGGATCAAATATCCTTGCAACTGAAAAATGTTGAAAACAGGTCAGGCTCAATGACTTTTCGAGTGCAATATCAAAATGAAACACATTGTTTGTCATAAATTTGCAATGGCATTGAGTGCCGGAACCTTGGCTCATCTGAGCAATCGTGCCCAAGCTGGTGAAGCCAAGTGTCGTCGCATGACTTGCAAGTCCTGATCGTCGGGCTCTGATAATTAACAGCTGCAATCACACAACACTGCGTTACGATTGACTCGTTTGAATAGATCTGGATTATCCACCATCCATCTGGGTATTCAGCACAACTGCAATCTGCGACCTTTCTTCCCAGAACACGTGCTTGTCTGAATGGATTCCATCATCTAAATCTCAACCACCAATGTGAGACTGTTGCAACAAGGGAGTCAAACAGGAATTGATGCTGTGATATGAAGCTTCTCAAACCAGGAATTTAAGTCAAGCCGCTGGCTTTCTATGAGATTGAGTCTCACATCTGTCAAGGTTTAGATGCTCTTTTCGAGTGGCATCGATAAAGGTTTGACTTCCAGCTGGAGTGTCAAACCATGTCAATAGGGAAACTCAATTAGTTTAACTATCTATAGCACAAATTGATCATTGCATCTACACAATCACTAGTTTGCTTCACTCAATTTTTAAATCTTCCCTGCAGGCATCGAGCCATGAGACCCCCAGGCCAAGCGTGCATGAGGGTTGAATTAACTGGAGGCTGAACCCGCCCATACCAAGCTGCTTGAGATCAGGATAGAACTTTGAACTGTTTTGGGCCACGAATCTGGAGGATTATGCGGATTGCCGCATAGCTATCATAGCTTGTTCTACCTACGGTGCCAAGGATCCAGCTTCCCATCAGCCAACTCCTTGGTGAAGCGATGGTGAACCACTCGATGCCACTGCTGCCCAGCAGCAGCTCGAAGGCGTTCAGAAAAACTGGTCTCCATGGCAGAGAGGGTGCACTTGGCCATGCAAAACAACTGGACAACTGTGACTCTGGTGGTTATGTTTGGACACTTTTGTTATTATATGGTTCTTTTTTCAGTGGGTCATATCTTCGTGAAAGTTCAAGAAAAAAAGAAAAAAAGAAAAACCCTAAGATCTGCCAGAGCAAGGGCTATATTGTTTTATGGCAAAGGGGATTTTCGTATTTTGGCTCCCTTCCTGTTTGTCAATGTTTTTTCGTGTTTTTGGGTGGATTCTGTGTCCTATCATAGTCTATTTCACCATCCAAAAAATCTCATTGATGGCTACGACCGACCCACCCTTTGGTCTCACCTGGAAGGATGAACTCCGCTTGAAAATCTGCAGGTCGGCCGGCCAAGCCAAATGACAGGTACTGAAACTGCAAACGGCCCCCATAGCCCATGGTTTTTGCCACGACATGCACAGGAAAACAAACCATTGGATCACAACATAAAGTACCAAACTGGTGCAAAATCAGACCCTGTGAGTATGGCAACCCATACTCACCACTCAGGTGTGTGGAAGAGCGAGGCTTTCTTGCTTGGGCATTTGCCATCTGGGTCAGATACTTCTGTCCCTTTACTCCCTTGGCATCCCACTTTCTTTGAGCCAACTCCGATTCTTTTTGGCTGTGTCTTTGCCTTGGATGCTGCTTCAGAAATGATGCGCCACTAGCAAACCTGCATCACTTCAGTTTTGTGTTTCCCTTAAATTGTCTTAGTAAATCTTAATCAAAGTTGTATGTCAAAGATGGCCCCACAAACTTGGTCCGGTAGTGTAGGAAATCCTTTGAAGGAATCCGTACAGCTCAGCACTGTCGGATCTTCTGACTGGGCTCACCAACTGAGCTTGACCAGAATCCCTGGAGCCTCTGGATCCGCGACTCTGCACACCAGCTGACCTTGTCTCGGAAGAGTTCGACCATGGCAATAGCAGGGCAAAATATCACAGGGAATCATGCCAGGCAGATTATTATCAGAAGCATCTTCCTGAGTGACCAAGGCCTGCTGCATGAGATCTTCAGACTTTCCTCAGGTTTCTCAGTTTCCAACACTGGGCCCCGCCGAGGACCATTGTGTTCACCGTCAGCTTCACTGCTGCGACGCCTCTTCAAAGCAAAGCTGCATGCCTCTGACCAACCTTTGGGCCACACATCAGGCCCAAGCCCTCTGAGTTCCCTGGCGTGACATCTTAGCCTTTAGATCCTGAAGCCTTAAAAATCCTTAAAACCACTTTTGATGAAGCTCCAAGATTGTGGTGCACATGATCACTCTGAGGCCAAACCTCTGAGTGGGCTGCATGCTCCGTCCCTGACTCTCATGGACTGGCTTGGGCCTGGTGGATTCATGGCAAATCCAGACTAGGCGCACCAAAAAGGACTGCAACAAAAAAAACTTGTTTGGGCCTGTGCTATTTCAAATTCCAAGAAGTTGGGTTCAGACTCAGGCTGGCATCAACATCCTCTGGCTAGTAATGATTGCTCTCGAATGTGAAGTTGCTCTGGTTGAAGTTTGTCTGAACATCAAGCTGATCTGGGCGAGCCCACTCAGCACTGTGCTTGGAGTCTGGGTACAGCAAATCATCTTCACTTGCCACTTCCCTGCATCAAATCACCAGTAAGAGTTCCAGGTGCTGCAAAAGCTGATTTTACCCACACTTTTTGAGTATATAAGAGGAAAAAAAGGCACTCTTGCAGGCGAGGACAAACAAATTGTAGTAATCGCAATTTCTACCATGTGGCAAAATGTTATCCAAATTTGCGAAAAGGGGCCCTAGTGGTAGCAAAGCAACACTCCTCACGCAGTGCTGAAGGCCGCACCCTGACTCACGGCCGAGATCATCAAGATAATCTTCATGGCCTTCCTCGCTCTCTGGCCTTAAAAAAAACTTAAAAAATAACCTGGCCCCAATGATCGCAGGCGAAAAATACATTGACTCAGCCGATTTCACCGTGTTGAATGGATACAATACATATTGTACACCCACATTCTGGTTTGACCTCCCAAATTTGGATATATTTGGATAATAGACAATGATAGCATGAAGAAAATGCTAAGGCACAAACTGCAAGTCTTGATGCCGCTCTGCTGCCACTTGCTTGCTAGCCGTTGCTCCAGGTCGATTTTGAGACCTGGTGGAGAGCAGCGCCCTGTGTTGAGTTTCGTTGTGAAAGTAATGGTAGAACCTTGCAGAACAACAACATGGGAGGTTCCAGTGTCTCCAGCGTAATGTCGCGAGATACTTCGGGATATCTCAAGATACGGCATGGCCCATGGATTCTGAGCAAAGAGCTGAGGCCTTTGTCTGAGAACTGTATGTCATTATATAAATATGCTTAACATATTTTTTTCGTAGCCTTGCTCTTGGCCTTGAATGTCAGTGATTGATTCGTAAATTGTCCCCACCATTCCCATCAGAAATCTTGGCCACTAAATGGACTCATGCAAAGCTGCGAATCACCTCTCTGAAAGGCAAAGAGGAAAAACAAACTCAGATGCCAACTGTTGCTTGGCAGCTACTTGCTTGCTGTCTGCTGTTGCGCCAGCTCGATTTGGAGACCTACAAGGCACAGTCGCACAATGCTTTCAGGAAGTGTGATTGGAGCAGAGCTGCGATCATCAAAAGTCAACAAAAAACGCCAAGAATATCCACAAACGTCGAAGAATCTTGGAAGGAAAAAGTGAGCAGTACACACTGGGTGGCTTTGCAATGGTGTGAGCCGTGTGAGTCTTTGATAACACGTGATAACTCGGTAACCTTTGCATCAGAAAAAGGCCCCGATCGAAATCACACTTAGCTCAGCACTGAATCCTGCTGGACTCTTGTTGTTCAATCTCCTCTACACGAGCCCTCACAGAGCCTGGTGACCTGATCGATGGACGGAAATACGTGTATATATATACATATATATATATATATGTTAAAAAGAGCCAACTATACATTGGCAATTATATACATATACGACATATGCATATAATATGTATGTATATATATATATACATCTAAGTACGTAGTGTTTTAAACAACGCATTTATTCATATCAGTATTTATGATGCATTGATTTGTTGTTTTAATCTATGTGTATTATATATATCTATCTTTCTATCTATCTATCTATCTATCTATTTGTGTGTGTGGTTGTATCTATATATATATAGATAATTATAAAATTATATATATATAATATATCATATGATTTTTACATGTCATGGTATATCCATGCAACATGTTCATGGAACCTAGTCAACCGGCTTAGATCAATCATCAATTTCAAACCACTTACCACTTGGATGGGATGATGACGGATGCATCTAGTCCCTGAAGATTTCCTTCGATGCGGGTTGGAAAAAAGAACGAACCGAGATTCGGGCTGCAGGCTTTGCTGATGCTTGGCAGCTACTTGCTTGCTGTCTGCCATTGTGCCAGCTCGATTTGGAGACCTACACAGCACAGTCGCACATTGCTTTGAAGATGCTTTGAAGTGTTGTTGGAGCAGGCCTGCTCTCGTAGAAGATCAACAAAACAAAAACAATCAAAAACAATCAAAAACAGTGTGCAGCATACTGGGTGTTTTTGGAATGGTGTCAAACTTTCCATCAAGCTCACAAGGTCAATTTCCGCATTGAGGGATTCAAAGCACACTCAGCTTTGCACTGAATCCTTCTGGACTCTTGCCGCTCAATCTCCTCTACACGGGCCCGTTCTGCTGCCCGTGACCTAATCAGTGAAGGGTCCAAAAACACCATTTAAAAGAAACAGAAAATCTTTGGCTTCAAAGGCCTTCACGCATTTCTATATACTTGCTTCTTAGCCCCAGCAGCTTGGCTTCAACATGAATAAAAGCAAAACTGAGATTGAGGCTGCAAGCTTTGCTGATGCTTGGCAGCTACTTGCTTGCTGTCTGCCATTGCGCCAGCTCGATTTGGAGACCTACACAGCACAGTCGCACATTGCTTTGAAGATGCTTTGAAGTGTTGTTGGGGCAGGGCTGCTCTCGTAGAAGATCAACAAAACAAAAACAATCAAAAACAGTGTGCAGCACACTGGGTGTTTTTGGAATGGTGTCAAACTTTCCATCAAGCTCACAAGGTCAATTTCCGCACTGAGGGATTCAAAGCACACTCAGCTTTGCACTGAGTCCTTCTGGACTCCTGCCGCTCAATCTCCTCTACACGAGCCCGTTCTGCTGCCCGTGATCTGACCAGTGAAGGGTCCAAAAACACCATTTAAAAGAAACAGAAAATCTTTGGCTTCAAAGGCCTTCACGCATTTCTATATACTTGCTTCTTAGCCCCAGCAGCTTGGCTTCAACATGAATAAAAGCAAAACTGGGATTGAGGCTGCAAGCTTTGCTGATGCTTGGCAGCTACTTGCTTGCTGTCTGCCATTGCGCCAGCTCGATTTGGAGACCTACACAGCACAGTCGCACATTGCTTTGAAGATGCTTTGAAGTGCTGCTGGAGCAGGGCTGCTCTCGTAGAAGATCAACAAAACAAAAACAATCAAAAACAGTGTGCAGCACACTGGGTGTTTTTGGAATGGTGTCAAACTTTCCATCAAGCTCACAAGGTCAATTTCCGCATTGAGGGATTCAAAGCACACTCAGCTTTGCACTGAATCCTTCTGGACTCTTGCCGCTCAATCTCCTCTACACGAGCCCGTTCTGCTGCCCGTGACCTGACCAGTGAAGGGTCCAAAAACACCATTTAAAAGAAACAGAAAATCTTTGGCTTCAAAGGCCTTCACGCATTTCTATATACTTGCTTCTTAGCCCCAGCAGCTTGGCTTCAACATGAATAAAAGCAAAACTGAGATTGAGGCTGCAAGCTTTGCTGATGCTTGGCAGCTACTTGCTTGCTGTCTGCCATTGCGCCAGCTCGATTTGGAGACCTACACAGCACAGTCGCACATTGCTTTGAAGATGCTTTGAAGTGTTGCTGGAGCAGGGCTGCTCTCGTAGAAGATCAACAAAACAAAAACAATCAAAAACAATCAAAAACAGTGTGCAGCACACTGGGTGTTTTTGGAATGGTGTCAAACTTTCCATCAAGCTCACAAGGTCAATTTCCGCACTGAGGGATTCAAAGCACACTCAGCTTTGCACTGAATCCTTCTGGACTCTTGCCGCTCAATCTCCTCTACACGAGCCCGTTCTGCTGCCCGTGACCTAATCAGTGAAGGGTCTAAAAACACCATTTAAAAGAAACAGAAAATCTTTGGCTTCAAAGGCCTTCACGCATTTCTATATACTTGCTTCTTAGCCCAGCAGCTTGGCTTCAACATAGCCCAGCAGCTTGGCTTCAACATGAATAAAAGCAAAACGAACTGAGATTGAGGCTGCAAGCCTTGCTTGTAGTCTACCATTGCGCCAGCTCGATTTGGAGACCTTCATTTCTAGTAGTTTCCGCGTCAGTCAGTATCCAGCAAGATGTGAATGCAACTTAAGTTCTGGGCTGGGCGTCTCCTTGGAGCCTCAACAAAAATCGAAATACATCCAATTCTCCTCCAACTGTGCTGACTGCAAAGCGGCTGCAATCTGGGGGTCAGGCCTTAGTTTGGGCACAGGAAGGACCCGCTCCGCAGGGCCGGAGCCAGCCTTTGGCGACCTGGGCAAGGTCCCGCAGCCGTCGGCTCCAATTGCGCTGTGTGAGGCACTGCCGCACTGCATACACAGAGGATAGTATGCATGTTTCCCGCTACATACAGTTTCAATAGGTTTCAATAATGGTTCTTTTTGTGCACTGTCATTCTTCCACCTTCCACAGCGACCCCTGAGCACCGAGCTCTCGCATTTGTGTTGCCAGGGCCCTGGGCAAAGAGTTTTTGACTGTAACAAATAATGTGCGACAAACAACCCGGGTCTGGTCAGCGCGCATATTTTCAGCATTGTGAAAAGAACCGATGGTTGAAAAAACACGTTCCTTGATGCTGCCGCGGTCTGTAGCGTCAGCGTCTGCTGATAGGCGCTTTGAGCGTATTCAACAAGCCGCTACAGTATACAGATTGGCGACCGGCTGATTTTGAAAATCAGTTTGAAAGGAAACGTGTCACACTTTCTGCCCGCTGGAAAATGTGTCTTCTCAGCTTTTTGTTAGACAGCTATGGATCACACTACTAATCCCTCACTAGCGGATATGGCATCATCACTGCAAACGGCAAGCTGTGGCTATATACATCACGATGCAACACTTGAAGGCTCACAAACAGTGACATGAACGCCGCATTCCATCTTCACAGCCCACTTTCCATCAACCTTGACCAGGGCAAAATGGCCAGATTTTGCCGAGCTCCCCAAGTCACGGAGCAGCATTTACAAACTTGGACGACATCAAAATGATTCAAGATGTGGCACCTGAGGTAGGGTTCTGCGAGAACCAGATAGGATAGATAGGCAGAACGGAAAGAAACATGTTTTCTTCGCATCCATCCGCCGCGCCTCAGAGACGACCTCACCCAAGGCTCCAGCTGCCTCCTTCCCACCAGAGACCATCAACTGGAAACTGCTGCGTTCAGAGGCAGAAGCTGCACCGCGGATGACAGAGAAGCCAGAGCCCATGATGAGAAGATCAGCCTTCTGCAGCCTGCCAACTTTCTGTCCAAACTGATTGGAATGAAGGGTGAAGGAAAATCCTGCATACCCAACTTCACCACATGTATAAAAAAAACCATCGAAATTGCCCTGTGCCACCCGAGTGCGCACACTAAGACAGATCAAGAAACCCTTCATCGTCCTTGCGAACCTTCTCGACAACCAGGGTATCACCTTGATTCCAAGGTTTGATGCTGGTATGTATTTTTATTGCCCCAATCCAAATTGTCATCCACACACCCCAAGATACACCCCTTAGTTTGGGGGAACCAGTTGAATTCAGTTAGTTCCCCTGCCAAAACCTCCTGCCCAAAAAAAAAGGCCAAGACAACAGGCAAATCACCAAACACTTCCTGTAGAAATTTGAGATAGGCATCAGCATCAATAACCGTGACACAGGATCGAACTGGAGGAGGTTGGGGTGACATCTCCATATCCTCTTCTTTCTTCGTCGATAGGGCCCAGAGTATGCCACAAGCATCCTGCAGGATGCCAAACTCAGCGCCCCAAAACTGCTTCTCCACTGGAACAATTTCCTGAGACGGCTAATGGACCGATCTGGTAATCTTAATACAAATGATAGTGCCACGGCTTGGGACCTAGATCCACATAACCGTTTGGTTTTCAGGACTTACAAGCATACATCCCGAGTTTACATGAGTTTGTTGCATCCTTTGCCAAAGCATGCTCGGAAACCTAGGAAACCCAGCGTCTTTGCATTTTCCAGGAAGCGCGGTGCTTCTCAGCATCTTCGAAGCCAGAGCTGGTGCATTGAGGACGTTGCCATGCCTGGACTGGGAGCCTCATAATGAAAGTGAGAACAAAGGAACACCGTTTTTAATATAGTTACCAATGCATGTGATGAATCAACTGGATCATTGACAAGAACATACGGAATACCATTTGCAATGATGCACATGCCGAAATATCTGTCACACTGTAAGATTGAAAGATTACATGGTCAATCATTGTTTCCCTGATTCAAGTTGGACGAGCTGCAAAATGACATGGCTCTGGTTGTTGCATCGATATTCAAGGAACGGCACGTTCAGGGTGTCCTTGAAGGGGTTCAAAGAGATATCCTCAAAAAATACATGGCCACCACCTCCAAACGCAGTCACAACTGCACCGTGCATCAATCGCTTAGTCGCTTCGTCCTCAAGAGTGAAGAAAATCCGTGAGCGAGTCGCCCGGCAGAAAGCCTCTTGGACCTTGTTGCCAGGGCAGCCACATGGAAAAGCTATGCTAAGCTGAAGTACCCGAAACCACTTCAAATAGGTCTTGAAACCTCAACTTGATTTTCACAACCTCCAGCGTCAAAATTAAAGGACCGGATAACCTCACAAGCCAACTTCTTCCAATAAGCAGAAACAAAAGTTGCATCGGGACGGGGAAGGAAGGAAAGACAAAGGAGGTGGTGGAGGATCGAGAAGTTTAAAAAGTTGTGTGTGAAGAGTTGTGTGTGTGAAAAAGCTGTGTGTGAAAGATGCGTGCGACACAATTATGCGTGTGAAAGATTGTGTACAGCGACGCACAACTAAACGATGCAAGTGCTTCCATAGGTCAACGGCGTGACAGACGACCATAGGTCGCTGTGCATGGTCCAGGGGCGCCAAACATGAATAGCGACTTAAAAAAAAAACGATGCAAGTGCTTCTTTCCACGTTGGGTCAAAGCTATGCGGCTACTGCAGCAAGATCGGAGGGCATCATATTACACATCAAGCTAACAACCAGCTGCACACAGCCGAGGAATAGATGCACTGCCCATCAGTGAAAACCCCGCTTGTCTTCCGCCCATGAAGAAGATGGAAGGGGAACCTGGGCGTGATGCAAAGGCAGATCAAGTTCAGAAAGCACAATGCAAAGACACCACGTCACACTGTGTCATGCGTGTTCTAATCGAAACAATACAGGTGGTTCAGTCTTCCGACCGTTGTATACCAGACGCAATGGGCGCACATTAAGCAATGTGTTCGGAATGCTTTTGGTGTATCAAAGCCCCTTTTTTGGGACACCGGACAACTCATGGGCCCCTGGAAAACACACACGGGAAGAATGGGACTCAAAGACAGGTGTGAAGGAAAACTATTCGGACAGTCTGAAACGACGAGTTCATTGGCGCTCACATACGGCACAAATATGCACCGGTCTTTTTTGGCAGCGCCAACCTCACCTGCGCGATCTCCTCTCACGTTGGGTCAAAAAAAGAAATTTGTCGATTCACGGTAAGTCTGGATGACCGATGCCTAGCTTTGCTGCAATGCTGGCAACGTCGATGAACGATTTTTTCAGTTTCGCCCAAATGAATAGACAACCATCCTGGCCACTGGACAAAGACACCGTGCGCGTCTGCTTCGCCACTCCCATATCCTTGCAAATCCTTAACGAGCAGAAAGGGTGCTTTGTAGCAGGCTCTTGTGAAAGGGATCTGTGCTCTCTGCTCTTCCAGAATGGTAGCAGCGGCCCAGAACCAGCGTCTCTTGACAACATCATAGCAAAGCCCCAGGAGAAAAGTTCCTGATGCCGAGACAGCTTGCTCTGGTGTGAGCGATGCCATTAGTGCTGAGCCAAGGGCAAGTTTGAGTGCAGCGTCTGTACGCGACGGTGCGTGGTCATGAACGAAATGGCACTTTCCATTGCAACTAAAGTAGGTTTGCAGGAAAAACATGTCATTTTCTGAATTGCAATGCAATGATATGATATACTGAATGTTTTGTAGCCAATGTTTCTAGCACCGTGTCCATGGAACATCGCCACAGAATGAAATACATCTACTCTCACGCATCAACTGATGCCGAAAAAAGCTTGTGGCAGAGGCCGATCATTTTGGCGAAAAGAATCCAATGCATTCCGAAGGGTGAGAACAGCGGGCAATGATTCCATGACTGTTGTGGAATTGAATCAGCAAGACAACATTTCCAAGCTCCAAGGGCTCCAGCGTAGTTCCTGCAGAAAGGCATGGAGGTCCAGCACAGGCTTCAAATAGTCTTGCATGACACGGCTTCGGGTAAACCTATTCTCGCATTTCCCATTGAGACTACGCATTACCCTGTGGAATTTCTGCTCCAGCGGCCTCTTTCCACGTTGAGCCAATGCGACCAGAGCAGCACTCGATGATGAAGTGACGATGTAGTAATCGTGTTCTGTCTTAGATGTACGCAAAGTTCCGCGGCGCCCCAGGCCACTCACGCGCACCACCAGAGCCAGCCCAGTGCAAGTGCCACGCCTGCCACACAAATGGAACGTCGATGCCAGCAAGTGCCGCGCAAAGCGCGGCGGCGCCCCGGGCGACTAACGGCGACCAAGCGCGCCACCAGAGCCATTCCAGTGCCACAAGTGCCACGCCTGCCACGCAAAACGAAGGTGGCTGTCGCCATGTCCCACACCTGCCACCCAAATGGAACGTCGATGTCACCAAGTGCCACCAACGACGACCAAGCGCGGAACCAGCCCAGTGCCATAAGTGCCACGCCTTCCAAAAAGAATGTCACAAAGCGCCACACCCGCCACGCAAAGCGAAGGTGGATGTCGCCATGTGCCATGCCTGCCGCGCAAAGTGCCGCGGCGTGCCCTAAGTGCCACGCCCGCCACGCAAAGAGAATGTAGATGTGAGCAAGTACCACCTGCCACGCAAACTGCCACGCCTGCCATGCAAAAAGAAGGTGTGTGACAAAGTTATGTGTGAGACATGGTGTGTGACAAAGTTGTGTGTGTGTGTGACAAAGTTGTGTGTGTGTGACAAAGTGGTGTGTGACAAAGTTGTGCTTGTGAAAGGTGGTGTGTGACAAAGTTGTGTGCGAAAGATAGTGTGTGACAAAAGTTGTGTGTGAACGATAGTGTGTGACAAAGCTGTGTGTGAAAGATGGTGTGTGACAAACTTGTTTGTGGACACATCTCCCATTCTTCTGGAGGAAGTGCAGGGTTTTGACGCGCTTGGATTCAACATCAACCCACATCAACGGACGATCACATCGGTATTGCCTTGGGACACTGTGATACGTATCACTGCGGGTTTTGGACCCAGAAGCTCAATGCACTCGGGACTCATAGCTCGGACGCGATTAATTGTACAAAATACTTTCCTCGTGACCTTCAACTTCCATAAGTCCAGGATCTGATCGCAATTCATACCATCCAAGAACCAGCGTACCGTGCTTGCATTCCTCAGGTCATTTCGATTGCACGCAGCTTTGGACATAAATGGACCCGACAGCAGCTGACACCATTTGACTACAAAATGACCCTCTCCGCTCTGTTCTTCTTCTCATGTGCCTTGTATGTTAGCGGTGACCTGGTAAGGTAGACTAACTTTGGCTAAAGCTCTCAGTGTTTCTGTGCAATCGGTTGTAACAGTGTAAGTACCGACAATCACACAGAACATCCAAGAGGCATGGAAACTAGTCCTATGTATGCATGGCTTATACAGCTTTTGTTTTTGTACTGATCGGCCCATTACCTCTGGACCCTTAGTGTTGCTGAGCACTTTTGCGGTCCATTGCTCTATATGAAGTCACCCCAAACGCTGAGCATAGCCTTCAATTCTTGATCTACTTGATCTACTTGATCTTCTTGATCCTCTTGATCTACTTGATCTACTTGATCCGCTTGATCTACGCGTCAGTGCCCCAGAGATTTGCCTTCCTTTGTGAAGGCCTTTGTGTGTGTGTGTACCCTGCTATCTGCACGCAGGAAACTTACTACCGTTCGAATCAAAGATGGAGTTCCGGTGAACATGAGCGACAATTTTATCAATAACCTGCGTCAAGCTGTGCTATGTGTAAATTCATTGCAGCTCAATTCAGTGCACATAGCAGCGGGGGCGTGCAGCACCTTTGGCATACTGCGCGCAACGAAGCTATTGCCATTGTTGGAAAGGGGGGGGCTGATCACCTCCCTGTACCTGCAGAATTTCAGTTTGAACTGTTGAACAAGCTGTCCAGCTCCGTGGTTCTCCATAATTTCAATCTAGATTTGCCCGGTCGCCTCAATCTACAGTGTTTTCTTTGATCCGAAGTTCGCCACATGCAAGTTCTGTGACGTTGACGCTAGAATTTCAGAATAGGTAGCTGGTGCATGGGATCTTTAACACAACAATCATACTGAAACATGGGTTTCACCTGTTTATCAAGGGTGATGGACCCAGGATTCCGGCCAGGCGTGTACAAGAACATCATCATTGACGTTTCCAAATCCACAAAAAATCAGCAGTGTGTGAGAGATGGGGTGTGACAAAGTTGTTTGTGACAAAGTTGTGTGTGAAAGATGGTTGGAGGCGGCAGAGTGGGAGGCGGCGGAGGAGGAGGCGCGGGATACAGAAACAAAACCAAGAACCCAACATAAAGTTGTGGGGAAAAAGCAATTTGAACCACAATGTAAACCATCCAACAGCTTTGCAAATAGCTTCGGTACGCTCGCGGCATTCTCCGTAACCACATTCGAAGCAATACCGTATCTGGGCTTGCCACCAGTGGCAGGCTCAGTCGACTCAACTTTGCGTTTCATTGCAGTGAGGCGAGTGGTCCGAGCGTAATGTCTTTTGTGTTTTGCTGTCAATTATGGACTTGAGCCCGCGCAAGAACAGCAAAATTGAAGAAGAAGAAATCCAAAAACCAGGTTCACTTCGTTTACAAGATTGTGCTCAAAGTTGGAAAACTATTACTTGGGCGAACAGCTCCAATTTGTAGAAAACGTTCACTCTCACAATAACCTTCAGTGCTTTCACATATTTCACATCAGGACCAAGGCCCTGGGGAATTCTTTTCTCAAGGTCCTGCGGCAGTTCCTCCATGTTCCTGGGTCACTGACGCCAAAGTGCCCGGCTTTGGGGACGAGGCCATGACCATGGCAGCTTCCCTGCAACAGTGCAACTGCTAAATCAAAATGAACTTTACATAGTTTATATATATATATGTGATTATGTGTATATATATATGTGTGTGTGTGTATTTATATATAAATATATATATGTGTGTATATATATATATATATCTGTGTGTGTAAATATATGTATATATATATATATGTATATATATATATATATGTATATATATATATGTATATATTATATATATAAGTCATTCTAAGTTGCATATAGTTATACAAACATCTTCAAATTCAGTACGCAGTTCACTTTCACGCTGATGTTTTTTTGCTTCCATCACGAACCGCACTGGCCCAAACCAGCAGGTGCCCATCTCTGCAAAATGGTGGCTCTTTTCGCATTGAGACCCTGCATGATATACCCATGTAGGGAGGGAAAAAATCTGAATTCAAAGCAGTATGTGAATAGCGGAGCTTGCCAGTGCTTGGAGCCCCCAACTCCAATCTCTGATCCTCGTGCTGGCTCCTCAAGACCAGAAAAGAAAGCCGCGGGAAAGTTACTTGTCGCATACTAGCTGCAAAATCTGCAAGGAAAACCTGAAGACCAAGTCCAACATAGCTGAACAATGCTGAACACCCGGCTCCTGGGAGAAACGCCTGGCAATGTCACTGTTTGAGCTTTCAAACTCCTTGGTGACCTTGGCCAAGATTAGATGTCAAAACTCAGCAGTGGCATGGTGATTCAGAACACTTGGAAGATAAATCGGATAAACAAAATGACACAAAGCAGTTCACAGTTCCGCCAACTGAGTACTGAACAATGGGATGCCAACCGTGTGGTAACCACGTTGCCTCACGAACCCCGCGTGTGTGAGGAGAAAGTGAGGCGAGGTACAGGATGCTGAGCGCAGAGCCATTCGTCCCGAATGAGCTCCCGTGGCGATGCTGCTTGTCGCGGTGACAGGGAGACGTCCCTGCCACCCCTCAGGGTTCTCTCGTTGAAAGAAGTGAATGGCCTTCATGATGTTTGAAGTTCATTAGACTCCGACTATCCTGCCAAATGCTAGGAAGGATAAAAAATGCCAAGTTGCTTGTAAGCGTCATTTAAACATTACTTGATGAAAATAGATCTCATAAATTCCTGGAACCATGCCCAGAATTCCTGGACATGAATAAGCTGCACCTAACACCCAACATCCCTATTCAAGGAATGTTCTGATCCGTGACCTCCACCTTGACATGTAGGAAAATCATTGTTGACATTAACCTGTCTGTTTTCCGGGTTTTCCTGGTTGATTCTCTTCGCCGGCCCGGTTTACCTGGGTGTTCTTGGCGTCCTCGGCGTCCTCGACTCTGAGGGTGATGACGACCTTCCACTGGTCCACATAATTTTCAATATGTGATGAAAAGGCATGGCAGGATTCAAACACATGGGCTCAATGAGGCTCGAACAAATGACATTACATAAATCACAACTCATTCATGATTTTCGGATGTAGGGCTTGGGGGCTTCATGTTAGCCAACCTCTTCAAACACAATTTGAACTGATACACTCCCATTACCATCCATCACCCTCTTTGATCACAACAAATCCTGGAAGAAAATCAACAGCACCCTGCCTGGGTCTCCGAGATCTGGCACGGGCTTCCATCAGCCACCTGCGACTCCATTTGGGCTCCAGTGAACTGAAGCCCCGTCTCTACTTGGGAACTTACTTTCTGAGATTTGTTTCAAAATGTTTCAAGTTTGAAGCAATTTAAAATATTTAAAGCCGGTCACGAGGATCCTTAAACAACATTAAAGAACGACCATCTTCAATCTGCAAGATCACGCTTAGCTTCCCTGGACCCGCATGTTACAATGGTGGAACACTCCTAAACCCGCCTGTCGCCCAGTGCCATGAAACAAACACTAAGTACATGAATATCATCACCACAAAATATCAGAATTCATTATAAATATATTATGTTAAATCATGATTGGATGTGACAAATGCATCCTTGAGATCCATCGAGTTCATGATGTACCTTCAAACATCCTCAGGTACAAATAGCCGGAGCCAGCCTCTGCTGCTCTCTAAGGACCTCGTCCTGGGCCGGTCCTTCCAAATCCTTGGAATACACCAGGATGGCCGTGTAGGGACAGGCAACGGGTCATACAAAAAAGTGTTGTAAGCAATGTGGATGAACATGATGAACTAGGCTACAGTATAGGTTGTGAAGGGTCAGGGACCAAGTACTGCAAAAACTGAGTCGCATGTTGTTGACTGCTTCATGAAAGCGTCCAGTCAAGCTTTTCTTTGTCTAAACCAGCCCTCGCAACAGAATCATCATCAAAAAAGCGCTTGTAAATCTGGGCTCAAGACCGGGTTCAGCAACGGATCTCTAGCGATCTGAGAGCAGGCAGCCAAAAAATACAACTTGCGCTGTAGGTTGGGCACAGGCCATCACATGACGCAAAAGAATGTCCTACATGGATCAGACCTGATACTTAAGTGTCCAATTCCACGTATGCAATTGCAAAACCTTGACTTCCAGCA